TGTAGGGTTAGTTAGGTCATTTTAGTTTGTTTATTGAGAATTAGTTGGAACATTTTAGTTTTTTATTGAGGGCATATTGTGATCATTTTCATTTAATTTTTATACTATTTTTTAATGTTAATTATTAACATAGCATCTTATTATTTAAGTCTAGAAGGAAGCTTTAAATTTCACGAAGCACGAGTCTCTAACTAATATGAATATAAAATTTAATAATAAAAAGGAAATTTTATTCTTTTTATTAATATTTTTTTAAACAATTGTATGGACAAAAAGGATAGTTAAATTACAGTCATATACATGGCGACAATAACACTATTATATAAATTAAACATATCTATGAATGAACATTATATACTATTTTATAACAAAATTGTATACCATATTACATGATATAATTTAAATACCCTAGTTTATAAGTGGCTAAGGACTTTAAATTTTATATTTTGGTTTAATTGAGATACTCCTTCCGTCTCTTTTTTTTTTTTTTTTGTTCTATCTTTTTTTAATATCTCAAAATTATATATATATATATATTACATTTAAAACTCTTATTTTTTATATTTTTTTATTTTTTGATATTAAAAATTATAGAACTTTAATTTTATAAAAAAAAATTAAAATTTAATATTAAATACATTAAAGTCACAATTTTTTTTTAAATTTTATGAAAATCATAGTACCCAAATAATTGGACGAAAGAAGTATTAGTTAAACATCAAAGAATGGCAATTTTATATCAAATTTATATTTTGGTATAAGTAATTAAAACATTAATACTTTATGAGTAATCCAAATGTTAGTAAGTTTATTATAATGCATCAATCTTAATTTGTCTTAGTGTAAAATTAATAGTATTAAGTTTTGTATATTAATTTGATTGATTTTTAGAATTAAAAAAGGGATAAATTCATGAATGATCTCTAAGTTATAGTAAAATATTTAATATGATATTTAATTTTTAAAAGTCTTTAACATAGTATATAAATTATAAATATGTTAATTAATATGATACTTTAAAAAAATTTTATATGTCACGTATCATTATTTGAAACTAGCCATATTAGGAATAAGTACCATATTAATTAACATATTTATAATGCATATATCATATTAAACATTTTGTTATAATTTAAGGATAATTTATGATATTAATTCTTAAAAAAAAGAAATCATTTGAAAATTAAAATTATGTCTCATTTTTTTAAAAATAAATAAACTAATTTAATAGAAAATAAAAACTTTGGTGAAAATCAATTCTAAATAGCTAAACTAAAACCATAGGTTAATGGAGGATATTTAATTTTATAAACAAATATTGTTCAACCTTAAACAAAAAATTATAGTCCAACATTTAAAATTAGGATAAAATCACAAATATTTTGTATTGAATTAATTAGAATTTTAGCAAGCTACAAAGTATTCAAATTGATTTTTAAAATGATTAAAAAATATGAAAATGAAATAAAATGATTTTTTAGTTTCAAAAGAGCTCAATAATAAAAATATTATAATTAGATTAATGGAGATAAAAGAGATATGCATATAATTTTAAAAATTAAAAATATTAACAAATTTTTACAATAATTTAAAAATATTTTTCTTAATCTACGTTGGCTTTGATAAATTGCATAATGTTAAATATCAATATTTAAGTTTTTATTTAAATTCAATAAATTGCATATTTTAATCATTATATTATGTGTTAAGACAATTCATATAAATATTTATGTCAGCACACATTATTCCATAATATTTTAACTTACTATATTATATATGTAATATTCTTTTTATATAATTATAGATGTATAGTATTATGTTTTTATTGTTTTTTTTTATATGAAGAATGATTTTTTTTTTTTTACCAACCAGAAGAATGACTTTTTAATTGATAAAAAAAGAATGCCATTTTAATTTAGTGAATATTTTTAATTTTATTATCTGTCTAAAATGAAATATATATATATATATATTCAAGGGTTTTTTTTTATAAAAATACTAATAAATATAATTTGTTTTTTATTATTTTTATATCATAATAAATCAAAGTTTTGTAAAATTAAAAATAGGCTAAAATACTAAATAAAAATCCTTTGAACTATTTAACATTTCTTAAATTAGCCTCTTGTACTTTTATATTACCTTAATAAATTTTTATCTTTGATTTATATCTAAATAAGACTTTATTTAAAAGGAAAGATTGATTTATGGTTGGGACTTTAATTAGGTAAAAATTAAAAGTTAAAAGTTATTTAGATACAAATTAAAAGATAAATATTATTTAGATACAATTAAAGTTTAATGATTTATTTAAATACAATAAAATATATGAGTTTATTTAACTAAAAGAGTAAAATTTAGGATTTATTTATTATGTTTGCTTAAAAATTAAGAAAATAAAAGAAAGGACTTTCTAAATGTATCACCATTTTCACTTTTCACACTTCATTTTTTTTTTAAATTTGTTATAAATAAAACTACTTAATTAGCTTTCTTATAATTTTTTCGATATCTATATTCAATAAATTTTATAAATTTTCAAAAATTATTTTATGAAAAATTATATAATCTACCAAAATTAGGTTTTCGGAAAGTTATAACTCTTTGGAAATCCATTTTTTTAGGGTGATATTGAAATTTTAAGAAAATTACAAAAAATTTTATTAAATTTTTTTATTAATTAGTGTAATAAAAAATTATTATTAAAAAAATCATAAATTTTAAAATTAATAAAAAAATTAATTTTATCATTTTGATCACAAAGAAAGAATAAAGTGTTATGAATTAAATATTTTATTTTTTCATGTTAGCAAGGATAATGAAAGAATTATTAGATCTTATTAACATATAAAAATTGAAACTATTTGATGTTGTACAAATAATACTATGGAATAATATATAATTTTATTAAAATATAATATGTTAGACCAAAAAATTCACCATGATAAATAGATGCGGTCCGTGACATAACTGTTGCTAAGAATATGGAGCCATCACTAGGGGGAAAGAAACAGATAGAAAATGAACTGGATATACTTGCACGGCATCATGAGAATAAAAGTGCTAAATCAGTTCACAAAAGCCAGAAAAGTGTAGGAATCCCAGGTAAGATGGTAGCCATTGCTCAGCACTTATATATCTCTGATTTCCCTTTCTATTTTTTGTCAATAACCAATCCTTTTACTCTTTACATATTTTCCTTGTCTATGACCATTTTATTAAATTCTTTTTCAGCCAAAACTTAATGTAAATCTCTGTGTAACATGAAGGACCTGACATTCTAAAATTTTCGTTTCTCCTGATGTGTGCCATAAAATATGTAGTATGAGTTGCCGAATCTACTTGTTTACTCTAAATCCTTGGATGGGTTCAACTAATCTTTTATTTTCTTCATCTTGTTTGTGTGAAGCAATCTAGGAACCCTGGGTGTGATCCATAGGGATATTTTCTTCTCTTTTCCTCTTTTTTTTTTTTTTAAATTTCCGAAGGATTTCAGATTGTAATTCAACTTTAAACCCTAGCTCTCCAAGATGTCCTACATCAGTTTGAGGCCGTCTACAAGGGTGCAAGGCAACACTTTAAGCTAATTGTGGGTCAAATATGGTTGAGAACTTAATTAAAAGGAAGAAGGAGATAAATTGCCAAATGTTTAGGCTTCTCTTCACTGACCTGTAAGAGTCATGCCAAAGAGGGTGCCAGACAGTTAATTTATAATTATATTCCCTTTTGAGCACCCTTCTTTGTTCCATCTTTCAATGCAAGATTGTTGGTATCGATGGACCCAGGATGAGTCTCCTTTTTTCAGATTTCATTTTTCCTCTTCATCTAAATAATAAAAATTTGCAACATGGTGCTTCATTTGTCTTCTTTTTAAAGCTTTTCTTCTCCATCACTGTGATAATTTATTAATTTATTTTTATGTATACATTCAGCTGTTTCTAAACCTGTAGGTATGAACTGGTTCTAATGTCTGTTGACATCCATTGTCAAAGGTGGCTGCATCATGCATATTTTACCTTCACATGTTGCCAAACATGTGGTATTCGATAGTACATTTTCTAGTTAAAACTGAAGTGTGATACTAATAACTTATCATTGAAAAGTTATAGAGAGTATTGAAATACTTATACTTGTTTGTCATGATTGTTGCAATCCTTTGCAGAGAAGAATTATATTTGCTTATAAAATCAATAAACAGGTTATTACTGCCCGCAGACATTGTGTAGAGGCTTTGTAGATTGATAACTTTCATTAAGCATCAGAACTTTGTGATCTGCCCTGTAGTTACTTTAATGATTGTTTATCAATCTTTATTGCATTCTTGATTTTTTTGATATATAATTGTAGCACAAGGTGCTTTGTTTTTCCTTTTTCTTTTTTCTTTTTTTAAATTATTGATTTTTCAAATCATCTGTCAGATGTGCCACAACAAATAAAACTACACTGTGTCAAAACACCAGACAAAGGAAGGGGTATGGCTTCAAAATTTGACATTCCTCAAGCTTCCTTGATTCATATTGAAGAACCTTATGCTGTGGTATGAACATATTATATTTTTGCTTTATATATTTTATTGTAGGTTTTATCATTTTATTTAAATGGTTTTAAATTTGAGTAGGCATTGCTTAATGAGTACTTAGAAACTTACTTCATCAAATATACTTATTTTTCTCTACAAAAGCTTTGGTCCTGGGAAATATCATTTTTATAGTGTACGGTGTCCTCTTTGCATCTTTCACTTAGTAGAATAATATTGGATGGTATTTACCTCTTTTCTTGTGGTTTGAGCATTGCACTTTACTACCTTAAAGATTTAATTCATTAACTTTATTATCTAAGGTCATAACATGTTTACTTCAATGCGCTATTGTTTACCACATGAGCTTAGAGCATTATTATACTTTACCTCCCCTTGATTCAATGCATTGTACTTTACTAAGCTCTAGCCATCCACATGAGGCACATAGGCAGATTTCCTATTCTCTTGATGTGAAACAGAAAATGGAATTAAAATGAGAGAGAATCCCACAGTTTTGTTCTTTTGTTTCTTTTCTTTGTGTATATTTGCTTGTCTTTCCATAAGTTACTTTTTTTGTGAAAAAGAGTTTAGGACTTAGAACGGAGGGAGGAAAATTAAACTGAAAGATTTAGGCCAACATTAGAGATACTGAGTGGTTCTTTCTTTTTGGTTTAAATGCGGGTGCAGTTTGTAGCAATGTATGAGGCTATACAATAACTTATGTCTTAAAAGTAATAAAAAAAATTACTATCTATATACTTAACTTTAAGGTTTTCTCACTTCAGTTTGATTTAATATCTTGGTTCATTTGTACATCCCTCAGCCTCTCACTGTGGGAACTTCCAATTTTGCAAATAAGAAATATAACTTTTACTTGACCATACAATATGCAGGTCATTCTGAAGCACTGCAGGGAAACTCATTGCCATTATTGCTTGAATGAACTACCGGCAGATACAATCCCCTGTATTTCGTGTTCGTTGCCATTGTACTGTTCCCAGCATTGCCAAGTGCGAGCAGGTGGACAAATACATGTCAATTGTTCAAGTAAAACTAACATACATGAAAAGAAGTCCAACTGTATTGAAGAGAATATTCCAGATATAACTGTAGGGAGTAATTCCGATCCCAAACTTGACTGCATTCCAGAACATAAACATGAATGTCAAGGTGTTCACTGGCCTGCAATATTGCCTTCGGATGTAGTTCTGGCTGGTCGAGTAGTAGTGAAATCTTTAGAGCAGAAAGGACAATTTACTGAGGTTCCTAATCTTTTGGAAACTTTGGTATATCCCTTAAGTTTAATTTTGATGTTGACTTTAATTCTGTTAGTGGATAACTATTATGTCATGGGTTGACCTTCCAGCTTATGGCCTGTAGTTTTGTCCTTGTAGGGGCTTTGTGAGAGTTATTCAAAAATGCTGCCAGAAAGCAAATTGGAACTACATATATATTCCATTGTATTGTTATTTTGTCTCCAGCACTCTTACTGTTCTGAACTGTCAATAAATGGAGACTCCACATCACTGGTCCTCTCAATCCTTCTCTCGCTGTTAGTTATTTACATTTGATGAGAAATTGTACTACAATCTCGATTTTTTCTTACTACTATATTCTTGGTGTACTTTTCTAATCTCTTCTTACAACTGCCATTATATTTTTGTATCCTTTCATCTTAGCAGTGAGACTATGAGACTTAAAGTTTCCCGCCTTCTTAAATCTGAACTGAACCCTAAAAATAAAAATAAATAAATAAATAAAAACTGATGGAGAATCCATTCCCAAACAATTCGGAAAGCAATAGAAGGGATGGAAATCCTTTTTACTTAATGTGAGGATTCTTGGAGCTAGCTTTATTTTCATATATCACTAGGAGTTATTTCAAGACTTATCTATACATTCTCAGTCAAGGTGTTTACTTGACATGACTTCAACCTACATCACCTTTCGCTTCACTTGGTCATATGGCTGACGTGCAAGTTATTGGTGCAAAAGCAAACAAGACCATAAAATTACTTGCCAGATTCAATTCATTTCTCTCTCCCATTCTCTCTCTCATACATGCTATGCATATGTTAAATGGTTTCAATAACCAGGAAATCAGCATGTTAATTTTCTACATGCTGAATATTTTGTCTTTGCCCTCTAAGTATTTGACACATAGACTGGTTACAGCAACTTTTTAAAAATGTGTTTATGTCTCAGTTAGTATTTCCCATTTTTCCTTTCAATCATTAAGTTCTGCATCAGATTACCTACGTGGTTTCAATCAGTACTTTGCACATGTTGGCTCTGCCCTAAGATTTGATATTTTGCATGTTTGGACTGTTGATATGGCCTCATTTCCTTCACTGCATAACTGATCATGTTTAGTTATTGGGATCTGTTTTGCGATTCATATGCAGATTGTCATACTTCTATCTCAAATTAGAGTGAATTCTATGGCAATTGTCCGTATGAAATCCAGTTATTTTTATGACCAGCAAGATTGGCTTCAAAAGTTCTCCTCTGGTGAGGCAGAGGCAGCTAGTAGTGTGGAACAGGTTTGTTTTACTGTATGCTTGTCATTCTTTCCCTTTAAGTACCTTTTTTTTGTTGGTCTTATTCTTCAATAACCTGCTTTTCATTCCTTCACTTCAATTCCCCTCTGCAGTGATACTGCAAATAGTTGAAAGCTTTAATGGCTTGTTATTTATATTTCCTTTTGTTTCTGGGCATTCCTAATGATGAACTGTAATGGGATCTTAAGTCCATTCTGAGTTTCTGACCTCTATACGACTGATATGATCTGGTTTGGTTGGTGGTCTGTTGGATTTATTTTGGTTTTCTTATGGTAATGGATTGCCACTGTCTGAATATTATAGGTGCACCTGTGCTAGGTAAAAACTTAGAAACAAGGACTTTTATAGTGGAGTTTGCTTTATTTTGTCTGGTCCATGGAATTAAAATATTAGCAACATTGCCAATGTATCACATGTCAAGGGGCTCTGATCTATTTTCCGACATTCTTTTTTTTTTTTTTTAATTTTGGATAGCAATCTGTAGGTATATAAATATTTTAGCGGATATTTGTGGACTAAGTGAATATTGGTAATATTTCAGCAAAATGATAATAGAATTTGACATAATTCTGGGTGATATTGCCAAAGTATCAGAGATGTATCAATTTCTTCATGAAAATTCAGCAAAGTCTATTTTCCAGAGAAAAGAATAACTTATTCAAATCCGTGACTGATGAAAGGTTGGATAAGAAAAAATAGCTACAAAAAAGAAACATAAGGGACAAAGGAAAGAAAGGAATTAAGAGAAAGAAGAGGGAAGAAAAGTTGAGGTAAAGGAGCAGCGTGGGAGGATAAAATGGATGGTTAATCCAGGTGTTGCATGTAATATGGAACAAAGTAAGCCTTATATCCCATAACTCTGGGGCAGGTGTTGCCCATAACTGGAACAAACTAAGCCTTATATCCCATAACTGTTCCATACTAAGCCTTATATCCCATAACTCTGGGGCAGGTGTTGCTTATAATATGGAACAAACTAAGCCCTATATCCCATAACTCTGGGGTCGGTTGTATGAAAGGCCCAAAGAAGGAATGCCTATAATATAGACAAGTGTTTTAAATTAAAGATAAAATAAATTTTGGATATTGTTTGTTAAAAAAATGACCTTGGTGCTGGACTTGGAATTAAATTCCCGGAAAACCATAGAACAAGAAATGTCCTTTGTTGGCCTCCGATCCTCTTAAAAGCCAATCTGTGGGTTTTATTTAAGTTTAGTTTCTATAATTAACATATGTAATTTTATTTAAATGTGATAAAAGTTAATTTTTTGTTGTTGTGTTGTTGTAGATAGATGCATTCTACATTAGAAATTATTTATGGTAATTTGCTTAACATATTGCTGCTCTGTACTTTGTTTACTATCTTTTCACATATCATATATGTAGTACTATTATTTTAAAATAAGTATAAATACATTATAAAATTTCCTTTAGCATTTTCAATGTTTTGAATATCCTTGTTTTAGAATTTCTATCTATATCTTTACATCCATCAATATTTTTTTATTGTAAAGGTTGCAATACATTCACTGATACTGATTTTTAAACCTTGGTTTTGACTTCATTGCCTTCTTTTCTTTGTCTGGGCTTATGTTAGTGCTTTGTGGTGCTCACATGAATAGGTTACCTTCAGATACTTGAGGGTTAGCTTTGGTGATTGAGAAATTGGGATTTTGGATATTGATATTGAAATGAATTTTCAGACAAATATGGAATTTGTCAGACACTTGATATGGTTCAGACTTGTTATTGAGACTTGAGTTTTAAGGTTTGATAAGAAATTCTAGATTATATATTGGGATATCCCAAGTGTTAAATTTGCTTGGTATCTTGCTATTCTGTTTAGTTATTGTTGGTGCCACATCATATGGACCTCAGATTTTGTCATTTAGGTGGACTGATAAACAGAGATCTTGGTTTATTTCTTGGCAAAGCATCTTTAGATAAAATCTCCATTTTTGGTGCATTGATTGATTGGGGTTTTTTCGGAGAAGTTACCATTGTGATCTCCAGAACGAGGGTTGAGATATTCTCTTTCTTTACTTGTAATTGTATATATAGATCTATTACAAAACCATGTAGATGATTTTATTCTTTTTCATTTTGTTGCTATTTTGTTCACCAGTTACCTTGGAAACTTGAATATGTGCTTCACCAGTTCACCTTATATCCTTTTGAGGGGCATTTTATGCTGATATCAATGTCCAACCTAGAAGAGCCAAATATAGGTGCCTTCTAACTCATATACGTTTAAGGGGTATTTTAAGGATATTTCATTAATCAACCTATTACCACCAGAAGACTGTAAAAAATCAATAGAGCTTAAATTCTTTCTCACCAAATTATTTAAATCCATCATCTAGGGCCATCAGAAGAAACATGCTTACCCAACTCATTGGTCAGGAGAAATATCCTTAAGCATTTTTTTTCCAAATGCAGTTATTCCTTCATAGTCAAGGCCACGAGATGCTACAATTGAATCCTCCATCCTTTTTAGTGGTGCTTCCTATATATACTCTTAGACAAGGGTCACTATTTGGTATAAACCAAAAATACCCAAATGATCAATCACTTTCATTTAGTTCCTATGCATAGAAATTTTAGATTGGTTTCAAAACTAACCACAATTGCCATTTTGTTTTGGTTTAGATGTTTTCCGATTTTTTAGACCAAACCAAATATTATTTTATATAATCAATATTTGTACCTATGCAATTAATTTTTATTTGAATTACTTTATACTTGCTTAAGTATTTATTTCTATGATTGTTTATTGCATTGGCATTGTAGAAATTTGAAATTTAGGCATTTGAAAGAAAAACCTGAGTAAACTAAAGTCCTCAATGGAATAGCTGACCAAACCAAATTGAATTGATTTAATTTGGATGTTTAATTTGGTTTAGTTTGGTTTCAATTTGTGGAGCCAAACTTTTCAGTTTGATTTTAAAAATTCCTTCCAAACTGTATCATGACACCCATTGGGAATTATTCTCACTTATTCTCACTCGCTGCACGTTAAGTGATACCTTTAAATTTGTATTTGTTACTAAACATGTGCCATCTTTTGATTAGTTTGTGTCTTGCCCAGGTCAGAGTAGGTCAGGCTATTTATAAAGCTGCCAGTTTGTTCAACCATTCCTGCCAGCCAAACATTCATGCATATTTTATTTCACGCTCTCTCTTGATAAGAGCAACAGAGTTTGTGGCTGGAGGGTGTCCCCTGGAATTGTCTTATGGTCCACAGGTACTCTCTGTCTCTCATATGCACACGCATACACATTTTCTCAAGGGAAGGGAATGGTGACGTTACTTTTTTCTCTAGGGTTGTGTTACATCGAATCTGTTGCAAACAGAGCAAGATCAATTTCTTAATTTAGAGTTTTATTTTACAGGTTGGGCAATGGGACTGTAAAGACCGCCTTAGATTTCTTGAAGAAGGGTACTTTTTTCAATGTTGGTGCCGTGGTTGTTCACAAGTGAATGCATCTGATCTTGTAATTAGTGGATTTTGTTGTGTTAATCCAAATTGTTCTGGAGTGGTTTTAGATAATCTCGTGGCTAACTGTGAAAAGCAGAAACCTAAAATTCCTGAAACAATCAGCATTGATTCTCATTTGCAGGTACTTTAGTATCTTCTTGGTGCAATTTAGTAAGCATCAGCTATAAAGTAAAAGAATGAGTACAGCCTAGCTGTTCGACCACAAAATTTTCAACTGATGGAGTTATGCTAAATACTAAATAAAATATTTGTTTTAAATTCCTATGTATAAATGGTTAAGACCTAATTAGTATTCGACAAGTGCCAATAATAGATGAATATTGCTGCAGGAATGACTTTTTCTTAATTAATTATTGAACTTTTATGAGAGACTGAATTAAAGCACGTATTATTTTTGTAAACATTATTATGTAATCTGTAGCCCATTTGTGGGGGAATTTTGTTGGTTTCTGCAGAGTTCATCAGAGGGATCGTGTAACTTTATCATTATATCTCCAGGTACTCGACCTCAATGATATTCACATCAAGGAAGTGGCTCACATTTCACTTGATGAAACACGTAATTGCCTCCGTATTGATTCTGGGTATTGCTTGAAATGTGGTTCCTACTGCAATTTGGCATCTAGAAGTGAAGCAGTTAAAAGGGCTTGGGTTCATCTCAGAAGGTCCGCAGTTTATATGTTCCAAAGCTTTTGTGATGTTAATGATTGTATTCTTTCTGAATCTGCGGAATCACATGGCAAGATCTTGGTTCTGTTATTTTCTTTTTTTTTTTTTTAAATATAACTCATCAGGACTATCATCTTTGATTCTAGGCCGTACTTTTCTAATTCATTTTAAATTATTTTGTAAAGCTTTAACTTACAATGTATGGATGTATGTATACTGCCCAGCTACAGAGAAGCATACCTGCTTTACCTAAAGTCTGTTCGTTGCTTGATAGGTTGCAGGACTCGATAGCTTCAAAAGATATCTGCAGTACTAGGCTTTCAGATGCTTTGAGATCTCTTGGTCTTCTAAGATCAACACTGCATGCTTATAACAAAGGCATTGCAGAAGTGAGTTTCATTGACTAACTATTAACACCTCCCTTGAAGCTCTGCCAATCTGAGTTTAATAAGAATTACAACCACTAATAGTAGATTTAACCATCTATGATATTGTCTTTTGCAGGCAGAGGACAATCTTGCAAAGGCATTTTGTTTCACTGGAGATTTGCAGCCAGCAAGAGATCATTGTAAAGCCTCGATTGAGGTAACTGTTTGCTAGTGCAAGAATCATATTGCTACTCAACTCTGATGAAACATTAGTTTATGTTACCAGTTATAACTATTTAGTAATTTTGTTCACTGCTTTTTGATCTTAAGAATAATCATTAAATTTCATATTAGTGCAGCTAAAATGTATAAAATGTTTTATTGGAATTGTTCAAATGAGAAACGATAATAATAGTTAAGAGAAGAGGAAGAGGAAATGAAAATGGGCATTGTAAGGGGGGATAGATATTGTTGTCCCCATCTCTAAAGGCTTTTGTTTTGCTAAATTAATGCTTTTACTTTGAAAATGGAAGAGTGAGTAGGCCCACAATTAGAAAACAAAATTAGGATGGTGTCCAATGCCATTGCCACTACAGTTCAACTTTAACTTGTCTGAGAATTGATTTAACCCTGAAGAGAGACCCAAGTAATAGTCATCCCCTTTAATAAGCACTAGAGGCTTCCAAATCGTATTCTTTTATAAACTTTAAATGTCTGTAAACAAGGACTTTGTCAAACCTAATAAATCTTCTATACACCTCATTATCATTAAAGCTGTCACATTGAACTAATTGTATGCACTTGGCAAAAAAAAAAACTATCATATGCAAGTGTTGGCCATTGTTTATCACGACCATAGAGCACATAAAGAAAAGGACAACAAAAAGGAATTGCATCAATGTCTTGGGGCACTACTTCTAAATTTTCGTCTGATTGACCTGCAAATAGTGACTGTTTTGAATCTTAAGCTGTCTGTTATCTTCAACAACTTTATGGTTGTTCAAGCTAGACAGCATGTATCTTTTTGGAGAACTAAATTGCACTTGTATTTAGAACTCAAGTGTCTTTCACTATCACTGCCATATAGAAAACTTATTCCAGGAGTAGGTTTCCAGATGTCTCGAGATGCCAAAAGCTACATCCATATGGTGGTGTGCACGCATAAACTACCTAACATAAGATTCAGGAAATTGTATAACATGCTAGGTTAGGAGGATCACTCTTTCCCATTATTTGCAGAAAGTCTCGATGAAATTTATTATGGTCCTACATTTTAATCATTAATTATACAAGGCCTTGTGAGCGGCTATTATAAGTTTCCAATTAATGATGTTTGAACAAGATTTTCATAGTTTTGTTTTTGGTTGCAGATATTGGAAAAGCTCTATGGCCCCAATCACATTGTGATTGGACAGGAATTGGTTAAACTTTCATCTATTCAGCTAACGATGGGTGATTGTACTGCTGTGGACAACATAAGTCGACTCAGTGTTATATTTTCCAAATATTATGGACCACATGCAGGCATTATATTTCCTTATCTACTGTTTCTTGAGAAAGAAAGTTGCCATATCATACACTGAAAATACCAAATTTTTTTCTAGTTTGAGAAACTGATAGTTCATAGCATCCCACAATATTTTTTCTGGAGTTGTGGGCGCCATCTTGGCTTGATGTCAATTATGTATATGCCTATAAATGAGTGGTTTTTCATTGCAATGAACAAAGTGCAAGTATTAAGCTCTTATTACTCAATAGGGTTGGTCTTGATATATATATTTATCTCTCTTAATAAAGTATCTAAATTATTTATGACTGCTCAAAATTCAATGGCAAATATATATGTGAATTATAAGATAAAATAATCTTCCTTATATAATTTATTTATCTCTGTACTTTTTTTTTTCAATCATGAATATATGACTAAATAGATGTTGATTTTGGATCAAATGTTTGATTTGATTTTCAATTAAGGATCTAACATTATATTTGTGTCAAATTAGCCCTAAACTTTTGGGATGTAAGTTGGCTTACAGTGGATAGCATGGATCCAAGCTTTTATGTATTGAAAGGAATGAATATTATGCAGCTGCCTTCACTCCAAAGATTTAGCTGAAGTTGGCAGAAATTGAAATTGAGAGCGCTATCTCAAAGTTTCATGCAGCAGCAAGGTGGAGGTGTGATTTGGAGAATACAAGGTTCAATTTATTAGGCTGCTTATGTTTGGAATGAATTGAGACATAAACGATACAGGTGATAATGGTTTGGTTATTTAGATTAATGCACAACATTACAGGTTTTGAAAAGTCAATCTAATTTTGAATCGAATTCTTTTAATAATTGATTTCATGTAAATTGAATTTTATTGATTTGATTTATCAATTTTTAAATTTGTTTTAGTTTTTAAATTATTTTAATATAATTTTTAATATATTTAAATAAATTTAGATATAAAATAATTATTTTTATTTTATAAAAAATTTAAAAAATATAAAAAACTAATAAAATATATAATAAAGTTAACATATTTTTAATTTTTAATTTTTTGATTTGAATTTATTATAAATATTTATTATCTAATTTTAAATTAAATCAAATAAAAAATTAAATTGATTCGAATAAAATATTATAATTTTTAATTAATTTTTTATTTTTTTATTATTATTATTTTTTAAAAATCTACTTACATCAGTATAAATGTTATACTTTTTTAACTCTTAGATAATGGCAAAATATTAATATTATAAATTTAATTTTGATCTAACAAAATATAATAGTTACAATAATATAAGTAGGTTGTCTTCTTGATTGTCATCCCTAAGAGGCAAGGCCAAGGATTATAATAAAATAATATTATGAATTTAGTCAATCATTGGACCTGAAAAATATGTCGGGCCAGGCCTACAGGTCTGGTCTATCAGGCCGCCCAACCTGTTTTTAATTTTACCCTGAGGGAAAAAAAATAAAAGAAATAGTTTAATAATAATAAGAATAAAGAAAAAAACAAAAAAAAAAGCCGCGGCAGACGGGCTGTAGTCAACGCTAAGGAATGAGAGGTCTGCGCGTGGAGTTGCGGCAAATACGTAACGCGACTTTTGATTTGGAACATCTGATATTGGGATCCTTCTTTCTTCTCCTTTCCACAATTCACATTTCTTTTTCGTTTCTATCGAAATAAGGGATATTTCTTTGCAGTGGTCTTATTTATCTGCTTGCCGATAAGAACCAGGAAGGGAATTTTCGCTTTTCAATAAAAATTTTCAAATCAAGAAAATTAACAAAAAGAAAAAGAATACTGCAAGTCATCGATCGGGAATGGTGAAGGAGACAGAATACTACGATGTGTTAGGGGTCAGCCCTTCCGCTACAGAGGCTGAAATCAAGAAAGCTTATTATATCAAGGTGATTATTTCTCTCTTGCTTTCACCATCACAGTTAGATTGGGTAATCTTTTCTGTGTAGATGTTTAATGTTGGTAGATCCGTCGGCAAACCATCCTTGATCGTTAAATTAGAGCTACCCATACTCATGGAAAGTCGATATAATCCAATTTACCCTGTTTTTCTTAAGATTTATTTACTCAGTCCTAATAATTTCCCCCTTTCTCATTCATCTTTTTATAAACAGTATATCCTTATTAGGTTGCAGCTCTCTCACTACTGCTTCTCAGCATTTTTTAGCATTCAACTCTTCACTTTATGGGTGGTGGTCTTTTCAGATAAAACCCTCACTTTGTTTATTGTATGCAGGCACGGCAGGTTCACCCAGATAAAATTCCAAATGATCCTCTAGCAGCACTGAATTTTCAGGCAAGCCTTACATTTAACATGTTCATCACCCAAAAAATTATAGTTAAAATAATGGTTTCTCTTCTCATAGTCTGTTGCTAGTAATTGCCATTAGTATCATCTCTACCTTACATGCAAATAACATTTCGGCACCACTAACTCACCCGACTTTGGCACTGCCAAATGCTGCCGACTGGAATACTAGATCAGTTTTTTTGTTGTTTAACATTGGCAAAGTTTATATCACTTTTCTTTACACCATTTCTTTCAAAACATAATTAAGCAGATCTCTGCTTGGAAAATGAAAATTGCAATGAGGAATGCCATGTGATTTAACATGAATACCATTAATCTCTTTGCCATTTCTTACCCCTGTTCTATATAAGGTGCCTCCTTCTTAAGTTGTTTGCTTCATAGTCTTAAGAAGGAATTTTATGAAGTTCAATTTCAGCATAACTTCTTTTCTGGACCTTGACCCCTTAAAAATTTTATTTTCTTGATTGAGCCAGAATTACTCACTCTTATCATCATGCCATGAATTGATAAGTTGTCTGCTATTGTTAATAAAACACTTGAAAGCTGTTTGGGTAGAGAATAGTGATCCTATATCTGAATCTTAGTGCTCTTGTAGAACAACAACAAACCTAAGCCTTTTCCCACTATACGAGGTTAGTTGTTCGAATCATATTATGTTAATGTGCTTTAATTAAGGCCTAATCATCATATCCTCAATAAGAGCAAAAAAAGGAAGATGGAAATTGTTTACATGTACAGTTATATGGGCAGCCTTTTAAACATTGTAAGTGTCAGGTGCAAACTGTTTCAGTGTCTGCTTGTACTGTGTTCATTGCATCTATTCTTGACCTCAATATTGGTATTAAATCTTTCTTGCGAAGTTTTATTTTTAAGTTTTACCCAGGTGTTGAGAGAGGTTTACCAAGTATTAAGTGATCCGGCACAACGACAAGCATATGATGCTTATGGGAAATCAGGAATCTCAATGTTAGTTTCCTATTCTTATTCTATGAATATGTGAATCTTAAGGTTCATAGGCTGTCTAAAAAAATTGAAAGTGTAATATTATTTTCATGGAATTTATTTGATGGTTTTCCTTTCTTGCAGTGAAGCAATTATTGATCCCGCAGCAATATTTGCAAAGCTTTTTGGTAGTGAGCTTTTTGAGGAATATATAGGACAGCTTGTTATGGCATCAATGGCCTCATTAGACATTTCCACGGAAGGGCAGCAGTTTGATGCCAAAAAGTTGCAAGAGAAAATGAGGGTAAAAATTCTTATTTATGTATGTAGATGATAGAGACTTTTACTGAGAGCGCGTTTCGATGGAGAATTTTGAAATTTTGAAGAAATTTGAAATGAAGATATTTTACAATGCATCATTTCAAAATGGTAGCATTTGTAATTATTTTGTTTAGATAAATATTCATTTAGAAAGAAATTAAATCTATTAGAATTTGATGAGATAAAAAATAATTATAAAATAAGAATAATGATATTGAAGATAAAAAATATATGTATAAAAAAAATATGCAATATGGGTATCATTATATTTTTAAAAGTATATAGATATTATTAATAATAAAAAAAAATAAAAAATATGTATCATAGTTAAATAAAATGATATTTTATTTTTTGAGTTTTATATTTATGGTGGGTCATGTGCAGTAAGGAGATGGTGGATTTGGAGAATTTTTGAAAAACCACCTCTTTAGGTGGAATTTCAAGAGGGAAAGTTCCCTCCTGAAATTCTATTTAAATTTTGAAATTCTCTCTTATTTTTACCCACACAAGTAAATTTAATTTTGGACTTTTAAAAACCTTGATCGAAATGAAATCCCTCTTCCAAAATGCCTCATCCAAACGCACCCTAAGAATTTCAATTGTGACAGGGTGAATTATTGAATGAAGAAATAGGGCAAACAGAGTCTTAATTTAATAAACAGTGAATTAGCTTTAGCTTAGTTGTAATTCCCCTTGTTGTTTGAACCTAGGATTGAAATTGGTTTTTCTGCTTTAAGATAATTTTCAGAAACCACCTAATAGTACTCTCAATTTGGTTAGACATGGAAATCTTGGGGAATCAGGTATTGGGTCATAGGGAAAAAGCTTCAGATCTAATGCAGGACAACAAAATGAATTGGCTGTGTATATTGAGGACAAATGAGTGGCTAGAAATAAGGTACGAGGTTTCTGGAATTTTAGGAGGGAAATCATACTAATAACAGAAATATTTACTTTGGTGGAGGTAACAGGATGACTGTTGTTTAAGGGTGATAAGGGGTTGTGTGCCATGTATATCACCACTGTCAATTTAGGAACTCATTTATTTTAATTCATAGATGCTGCGATATTGTAGATAGGGGCAAACTAGATATGGCTTTACAAGTTTTCAATAACCACCCCGAAGTTTTCAAAGTGAAACATAAATGCATTTCCTGTTTTCTGTTTAAGATATATATATATATATATATATTATTGGTGGGGGGGGGGGGGGGGGGATTCTGTTCCTAATTTATTTTATGAAAAGGCAAACAGGCCTTGATATCTCAAGGGATCTATGTGTTGCTCCACTAGTTTTTTTCTTCTTTTCAATTTTATTATTTATGCTCTCTTCTTTATCAATTTTAAATGATAAAGAAATGCATTATTAAATAACTAGGTTCAATCATAAGGCTGTATTCATATGACCCTCCTAGACCTCACATTGCAAGTGATTTGTACAGGGGTCTCCAACTTAGTTCAATGGTCTAATAGTCAATGGTAAATAAAACCTTGCTCAATCCTGATTGACAGGCTTGAGTGCATATTTGGCTGAATAATTCATGAAATATTGAATTGATTTTTTAATAATAAAATTAGGTATCTTTTTTTGGTCGCCAGTGAGGTGCTACTGAATTTATGAGAAGTCACTTGTATCATCTCCTAGCTTCCACCTTTTTGTTCTTGACCTCCTTACTTGGTTTTCTCAAAGACAAGAAAAGTAAAAAGAGGCAAGTGTTAAAGCTAATTTTGTTCTGTAATATTCTATTTAATGTCAGCATTTATAAGGTAATGCATATCTTGGCAGTTAGAAGAAAAGAGTTAGATATCTCTGTTCTTTTCTTTTTTTCATGTGAAATTGATCAATGAATTGTTCTCGGTGTTATGATGGATTGTTGGTTTGATGGTATTCTTTCATTTGCAGAAAGATGTTTATTCATTAACCTTGGCTTTGTTTTACCTACCTATAAAATATTATCCTTTGGCCCTCATCACCGGTGCAAAGTAATACAAAATCTCTTCATATGTGGTACAAGTGTTTGTTGTTGCTGGCATCCCTTCAATTTAGCAAAGATATTATAAATCTTTTTGTGCAAAATGTTTTTGGCTACAGGTTGTTCAGAAGGAAAGAGAAGAAAAGCTTGCAGAAATACTGAAAGATCAACTAAATCAATATGTGCAAGGAAACAAAGAGGACTTTGTTAGTCATGCGCAAGCTGAAGTATCGAGGCTCTCTAATGCAGGTAGTATATCTTGTTATCTGACAATGATACATAACTACTTAAGGGTGAGAGAAAATTGGAAATCTTTCTTCATCTTCTTGGATGAATTTTTTCTAGTAAACATCGTCATGATTCTTGAGCGCTCGTATGATATGGCCTTCTGAAATATTGCATAAACTACCAAAGTGGGCAGTCATTGATACCAAATTGAAGATAAAATTAAACTGCTATATGCTCTCAAAAATGGACCCTCCACAATTATAGTTGCCCTTAAAAATGGACCCGTCACTATTATTGTTGTGCAATGGTGGTTGAAGTGTTTAAGATTTGCTAGGATTTGAACTTTAATCTTTTTATGCCTGTTTTGCTTATTGGTATCAGTTGAAACTTGCATTTGGGGTTACAATTTTTTTTTTTTTTGGGCCACAAATGGGAAATTATAAAGTTTGATGATTTAATCTAGTTTGGGATCTTGTTTCAGATGACTTTCCCATTTGACAAGTGCTTACACACACACATAAATATATATATATATATATATATATATATACAAGGGGCAATTTGGTGCCATTTAGTGTTAACTCGTTAGTGACTATTGGGGTGCTTGGATAAAGGTTCTAAATTGGGTAAAAAATGGATGAAGTATGCCAACAATTCTTAATTTAGGATAGGTATATCTATTTTGTATGCTTGTTTCCTCACTATCTTCTTTATTTTTGTTGGATGTTTGATTGTTTAATTGATTTTCAGTTATGATAGATTTGCTGTATATGTTTTACAGCTTATGGCGTTGATATGTTGAATACAATTGGTTATATATATGCAAGACAAGCAGCAAAAGAGCTTGGGAAGAAAGCAATATACTTGGGTGTGCCATTCATTGCTGAGTGGTTTAGAAACAAAGGCCACTTTATTAAATCTCAAGTAACAGCAGCAACTGGTTAGTAAATGCTGCTAACTTTAATTGTTAGTACACATAATTATGTTTTGTTGATAACTCGTTTGATTTTCTACTACTTTCAGATTAAGTTTGGGTCTTTATTCAATCCTTAACAAGGAAAAATCAATTGTGTTGTTAATGTTTCTTACAAAGAAAATTTTTGCAGAAAGAATTATTGTGTTTCATCTATTTTTTTTTTCCCTTCATGGCATAGGTGCAATTGCTTTGCTTCAGCTGCAGGAGGACATGAAGAAGCAGCTTAATGCCGAAGGAAACTACACTGAGAAGGAGCTTGAAGAGTACTTGCGATCTCACAAGAAGCTGATGATTGATTCATTATGGAAGCTTAATGTAGCCGACATAGAAGCTATCCTTTCTTGTGTTTGTCAAATGGTTGTTTCACTTGTTTCTTCTTTTATGACTGTTAGATGGCACTGGTTAGATATTTGTTATATGTTTCTTGTATCTATCAAACTATTGTTTTAGGTTCTCCAAGATAACAGCGTCAAGAAGCTTCAACGAAGAGAAATCTGCTCCAAGCAACATCGTGCTTTCTCCATCACCGATGCCCAGGAGCGCTTCCGCAACATCCGCTTGCAGGTTCTTTCTTTAACCTTACCTTACTCCTTTAATTATTTTATTATTTTATAATTTTTCTTCCATATATTTTGCTAATTTTCTTTTCCTCTTGTTTTGGGTGTTCAAATTGCACGAGAATTCTGCTTTCTAATATACAGTTTCAGTTGAGGTATCTACTCGGTCATGCTTCCAAGTCCAAACCATGTTTTCCTTTTTTCTTTTTTTTCCAGATATCAATCTAAGGAAATTTGAACATTTTAACCCTAGTTGCAAATTTGTGGGAGGGTACAAAGAAAGATCTAGCGTTGCATCATTAGTGCTCAAATTAGTTTGATACATATTATCTGTTTAATAGTTTCTGTTCTAATCATATTCACCGGCTTTGATCTATAATATACAACTAGAGTATATTGCCTACCCTTTCAATGTTACCTTATGAGATATCGCTGCAAACCTGATCTACTTCAATTGTTTTTTAAATTTTGATTTTTTTAGATTTATGGCTGTTTAAGTCTTTAATATGATCTATAAAAAAAAGGGGTCATTAATATGATTAATGGTAAAAGACAAAAGCTTGAAACGGTGGAGTATTTGTGTCAAAAGATTCCTGATGATGATTTCAAAATTTCCATGAATGATGAAGCTTATTTGAGAATTTTGAGTAAGAAATGTAGGGTCAAATACGTAGGTTGAAATCAAAACATAGATGCTTTATTTGCATTTGCTGGTATTCAGACAAACATGTTACATTCCTGCTATTTGAACCAGTTCACCTTTGGTTGAATAGTTATATGTGTATTATTCTACATTAAGTAGCAGGATAGAAAAGGGTATTTCTTTCCTTTTGTTTAGTTGGAAGTCTATCAAGCAAAAGATTAATTTCAAAGGTCAATGGTTTATCTTTTATTTGTGTAGCCACGGGGACAAATCTGTTTGCATTGCTGTTCTTATTGAGCTTTTTATTAAATTCCTGTGGTGATATGTTGCAAAACTATATAGGAGGAATATGATACTCATGATCCAAAAGGGCATTGTTCGATGGTATTACCATTTCTGAGGAAGAGGTCAAAGATTATAGAGATTGTAGCTGCACGAGACATTGTCTTTGCTCTTGCCCAGTCTGGTGTATGTGCGGCATTTAGCCGAGGTAGGAGCTGTGTTTCACACTTCTAAACTTATTTTGCATGGGCTTGCCTATTTCTATTTGCATCAATAATTAGAATGGGAATTTTGATATTTTATTGTTTTGGATGCAGAGGCTAATCAAAGAATATGCTTTCTAAACATCACTGCTGATGAAGTTATAAGAAACTTGTTTTATAATAAAAACAATGACTCACTTATCACAGTCTCAGTTTACGCTTCAGACAATTTCAGCTCTTTGAAATGCAGAAGCACAAGGATTGAGTGTGTCAATCTTTTTTAACCTCTTTACAACACTTATCTTATCCCAATTTGAGCCGAAAGGAGAAAAAGGGAAAAAATCTAAGAAAAACATGAAATACTGCATCTGGGCATTGTAATTTGTAATTTGCATTTGTTTTCTTTCTGAAACAATTCTGTTTGACGAACAGATACATACGGAGAGGTCAACCTGATGCTGGTTTTGCCCTTTTTGAATCCGAGTCACTGAAGTGGCCTGGTTTTGTGGAATTTGATGATGTAAATGGGAAGGTACTTTCATATTCTGCACAGGATAGGTAAGTAATCATCCATATGAATGTGCTTTTGTGCTAAAATATAATAATTGGATCCTCAACTAGATTCATGAGTTTTGACATACTGTTTTTTGTCTTTTAATCAGCATATACAAGGTGTTTGACCTAAAAAATTATACGATGCTATACTCAATATCGGATAAAAATGTTCAAGAGATTAAGATCAGGTAATGCTCCTTTCATGATGGTTATATCTTCTTGCTACAAAAATAAAGATTAACTCATTGATAGAAAAAATAAAAAAGAAACCTTTCTGATTTTCTTTATTCTTCTGTTATAAGTATTGTTTAGTCCAAACAAGCTTTCGCCTTTCTCCTGGAAGCAAAAAGAAAGTACTGAGAGTAAAAATCAAATGATGCCCATAACTTGTTTGCTTTTGATTTTGTCACTTAAATTAATTGACTTTGTTTCCATCATTTTTTTTTTGACAGTCCAGGGATCATGTTATTGATTTTCACTAAAGTTGGTGGCCATGTTCCTCTTAAGATTCTCTCAATAGAGGATGGTACTGTTCTGAAATCTTTTAGCCATCTTCTTCACCGGAATAAGAAGGTGGATTTCATTGAACAGTTCAATGAAAAGCTTCTTGTGAAGCAGGAAAATGAAAACCTCCAAATTCTTGATGTAAGTATCATTGTCAATTTATTGCAATCTCATGCATTTATTAAAGCTAAAAAAATCAAAACTGTCATTGTGCAGGTCCACAATTCTGAGCTAACAGAAGTTAGCAAAAATGAATTTCTGACCCCGTCAGCATTCATATTTCTGTATGAGAACCAGTTATTCCTTACATTTAGAAATCGCACGGTGGCTGTCTGGAACGTCCGTGGAGAACTTGTAACTTCATTTGAGGATCACCTTTTGTGGCATCCTGATTGCAACACTAATAATATATACATCACAAGTGATCAAGATCTTATTATCTCTTACTGCAAGGCTGATTCTGATGATCCATTGTCTGAAGGAAATGGTTTGTTTTTTCTTTCTTTAAAAACTTATTCCATCTTACATTTTCTTAGGAATCTCCTAGCTGCTCTTCCTCCTATAGATAACTGTATCTCTCCTTTAAATAGTATTTTGGCTATAGCCTTTCTGTCCATTTGAAATTTTGATCTGAGTTCAGATTTAGCTTGTTATTTTGATAAACTGTTTCCATAAAGGTTATAGAAATAAAAAGTAGAAACCACCAGTTGCAAAAGAATACTATCCAGTAAACATTAAATTTAATACGTCATTGAAGGGTTTTTTGTATCATCAATTTTGCATTACATTGTAAAGGGCTCTATAATATTGCTTGGGTATCTTAATGATTTCTTTTTATAAAAAATGATTTAAAAAGGCTTGTTGAGTTGTTCTATGTTTATTGTTTGTTGGCTTTTTGGCAAATTATGTGTTTTTATGGGTTTTTTGGGCTTGGCTAGCTTTTTCAATTGGATTGTGGAAAATTTTCATCATTTCCTTGGTCGTTTTGAAGGGAAATGTACATGTTCAAATTTACTGTATAACAACTAAAGCGAGGAGAGAAAGGGAAATGGGGTGTTGGGGAGGGGAGGGGAGGGGGAGGGGGAGGTGGGAATAGGGAGGATGTGATGGTATGCTTTTGTAGAGACATGGAAAGTGTGGAAAAGATCTCATCTGGATTTGTTTCACCGATATATGTGCATCTAATGAATTTTTTACGTCCCTGGTGTGGCAGGATCCATTAATATCAGCAATATATTGACTGGGAAATGTCTTGCTAAAATAAGAGCAAGCAACAGTTTCCCTGTGGAAAAACAATGCAGCTGCAGTGTCAAGTGTGGTTGCAGATCAAAGAAGCAGAGCACTGCATCCAGGATTAGAAGCACGGTTGCAGAAGCACTGGAAGACATCACTGCTCTTTTTTATGATGAAGAGCGTAATGAGATTTATACTGGTAATAGGCATGGTCTAGTTCATGTGTGGTCTAACTGATGGTTTGATTTTCATTAGAATTTATGTAATTTTAGTTGCTGGAGGTTGAGTTGGTTGTGAATGGGCATTATGAGACTCATGACATGAAACTGTACCATTATTAAGTGTTAATTGTATCAATTCATTTAGTTTATGTTTTAAATGCAGTCATTTTCTTGCTTTGATTTTTGGTGCTGTGTGGGAGTGTGTAAATTGTTGGTTTATGTATGAATTATGATTTTATGATGTTGATGGAGATGCATTTTATTTGGGGTAATATGCTAAATCACTAAAGGGAGGGATGGAGTGAAGCATTTGCTGGGCTCTATGCCCCGTCTTCGACTATGAATGGATGAATGTAATGAAGGCATGTCTTTTGAATCCCTTAAACTTGAATGATGAGCAAAGCAAAGCAAGCGTGGAATAGAAGAAGAGCAGCAGAAAGGGAGAAGGGGGTCTGTAACATTTTGGTATGCATTGCTATTGCTTGTTTGTTTGTTTGTGTTAGATGAGATGAGGAGGGTATAGATATTGCTTAGTATTAGTAGAAGGAGGAAAGATGAAGAATCAGATATTCCGTGGCGTGTGGGGGTTGAGAGTTATAATGTGTTGGATGGAAATGGAAGTTGCAAGTTGCAAGGGACACAGGGAAAGAGAACGTGCGAATGTGCTTTACGAATGGCCAGTCAAGCCAAGACAACAATGTTGTTCAAGGTGGATTTATAATTCGTGGGTTTACAACCAGTAAAACATTAAAATTTTATATATTTATCGTTTTTTATATAAAAATTATATATTATAATTTATTTTGATATAAAAAATATAAATTAAATTATTTTTTATCGTACTATATTATAAACTATAAAAAAATAATAATAAAAGATCATTAATTAATTATTATGGTCACGTGGGTTCTTCGCGTGCTTTGCACTTTTCTATTTTTCATCAGCTCCTATCTATTTTTATTTACTATTTACTATTTAATTTTATATCGCTAGACGTTCAGATTGTTTGGTTGTTGCATATAAAAAATTTCAAAATTTTGAGCACTTTTTTCAGATTTAAATTGTATTTGAAATGTGAAAAAGCAAAGAAAAATGAGGTACTCCATAGCAGATGGGAAACAAAAACAAAAATGAAATAAAGAAAAAGGATGTAGAAGCAAATTGATTTAAAAAAAAAAAAAAAAGATTTGAGTTGGAAGTAATGGAGCGTGAATGACGCGAGTGGCTTTGGCGACAACAGCTTGGTAATGATGAAGCAATTATTATTACTAGGGTAGATGAAGAAACGCGCCTACTGCCTTTGCCTGTAATCTCCACTCTACCACACACGGGACACTGCCAACCGGACTGCTCTTCTTCCTTTTATTTCATCTTCACGCTATCTTTTACTCTGCCCGTTTTTGTTTGCAAGTAATTCAACTTTTATCTACTACATCTATTACAATTAGCATTATTGGATCCCAATTTACAAGTAATAATAATCGTAACTAACATTATTATTACTATTTCTTTACCATAAAAACACAATAAAATATAAACTAAAAGTTAGATTCAGTTGACTTAAAATTTTTATTAATATTTAAAAATTATAAATTCAAATAAATTTATATCTATGCCTAACATTCTTTTATTATAAAATTAGATCAGGGTAGATTAGAAAATTAAAAAAAAAAAAAAAAAAACTTATTTCGCAGTTAGTATTTCAACCAGGTTCTTATCGTTTTATTTACATTTTTTCATTCTGCTCAGTTTGTTGTTGGAAATTCCACTTTCCATTCACGCCCTTGTACTTTCTCAGATTCCTATATATTGTTGGTTCAACGGATTTGTTGGATACCGCTAAAGTTATTGAAGGTGAGATGTCTCAGTTGGAGGAAGCCAGAAAGTTTCATCTTTCTCTATATGCTCAGGTAAATATCATGTCTCCTAATTGTCCGGATATTTAATTATGCATGAGCTCTCCTCACTAACAAGAGTTTCATCTTCTCAGGGTCATCAAGATCATATTTAAAGTAGCGAAAAAGGTAAATCTCATGTTCAATGCAATTTAAAGTCGGACACTGTTCATTACCTTGATATATTCTCTGTTTAGTATTGTTTTGATTAAGGTTTGTTCTTTTTCAAATGATTGAGGACATAAGTGGTGTATCTTTTCTGTCTTGCCAATCTCCTTAATTCTGTGGTGCACTTGCGCCCTTGGTAACTAAAAGCCTTGAGAGTTTTAATCGTTCTCTTTCCTTGTTGAACAGATATATGCAACTCAATAGACATGGTCCCAACATCCAAAGTAAATGCCATTCTTTACAACTTTTTTTGTCAATTTTTCCTCTAGGTCCGTTAGAAGTTGATCTTATGATTCTACATAATACTTCACCATACTTTTATTGTGGCCACTAATATATGCATTTGACCTCGGCAGTTCGAAGTCCAGAATTCATCATCAGAAACTTCAAAGTATGTTCACTCCATTAATATTAATATTAATATAATATATATTTAGTTTGTTAGTCTGTTTTAGTTCTCCTGCAAATCCAACCAACCTTTGGAAAGTGCATTGCTAGGAATGAGCTCTTACGTGCTATGGAATCAAGACTTACAGCGTTAAGAACTGAGTTAGTTGCAGCTTTTAACCAGGCGGTTGGAGAAACCTGCTCCTAAAAAGAAATCTCTCATCTGGCAAATTTTTCTGAAAACTTTGGGGCAAATGATGTAAAGTAAGTTGCCTTCCAAAAAAAAAGTGCATGGATCTTTTAAATCATAATTTTCCCAAAGAATTTGTAACTGCAATCTTCTTTTACATCCCAAAATTTTTACAACACTTGATGAAATGATTTATAAGGAACAAATAATCTTGTTAATATCTACTGCAGGAATTTTTTGTGCATGTTTCTAGAGCCGAGCCAAAAGCACCAAATTGCAGATCCCCCAGATGATAAAATGTCTTCATCTGCTCGTGCTTCAGTTAATGGCAGCATAAACAAGACTGATGGAAGTAAACAAATATCAAAGCTAGTAAGTTCAGAAGCACCGGTTAAATACGGTGTTTCACCAGCAAAAGTTGCCCAGGTTGAGCGTCAGACCTCAACAGAAAGTGAGGAATCTTCTGACTTATGTGACGAGAATCAAATGTCTGCAGAAAGATGTCGAACTCTTATAAGAATTGCAACGCCAAGACGGTCAGCATCTCCTATGCGAAGGGTTGAAATAGGGAGGAGTGGCTCTCGTAGAGTCCCTGCTCTGACCATAAAGAGCCTTAGTTACTTTCCTGCTAGAGAAAAGATATTGTCTCAAAGAGATGTAGCTTCAGATGATAGCGAAGAGGAACGATCTTAACACATTAAGAAACCTGAGAATAATGTTCGGCGTATGAGTGTTCAAGATGCAATAAATCTTTTTGAAAGTAAACAAAGGGATCAGATTACTGATGTTCCAAAAAAGAACTCATTAACAAATATCTCTCTTGGTCCTAGTAAGTCTGTATTGAGAAGATGGAGTACAGGTATGGGCGAATCCTCCTCCAAATGCCAATCACAGAATGCTTCTGAATATCCTGTTGCAGAGCCTCCTGATAATGTCATTGATAGTGATATCATGCAGAGGTCAGCAGAAGTTAATTTGGAATCTGCTACTAGGACCGGAGCAGAAAACATCAATGAGACTGCTGATCTGAAGTTAGAAAGGCCGGAAGAGAGCTCATGTAGTCCGATAGATGTTCAAGACGTAACAGATATAATCCATGAAGAGGAAGCTAACGAGAAGTCAAAAGGATCAGCTGAATGGAGTCGACAGAAGGAAGTGGAGTTGAACCAAATGTTCAAAAAAGTGATGGAAAATCAGCCTGATAGCTGTTGGAAGCCTCAAACGAAAGTCAGACCAAATCTGCCTCCAGAGCAGAGAGGTGGATTTTTTTACTATTACAAGGAGACGAGGGACGAAAAACTTAGAGGAGAGAATACTGGAAAGCGTGCTGAAAAAGAAGCAAAATATAGAGCAATGCAGAAAATTCTTGAAGAGAGGAAAGCAGAAATGGCTTCCACAACCGTGAATAATTTTTGTAAAAAGGATCCTCCGGCAAAAACCCAAAAATCTGTTAAGAATTCCCAAAAGTTACTAAAGAATCCTTCTCAGCCTGCTAATAAAAGGAAGGAAACCACAAAACCTTCAACTGCAAAGAAGGTTTCATCTAGAACATACCCCTTGCCTGCTACTCGTAAGTCATGGCCTTCAACACCATCTCCGAGAACAACAGGAACATCACCAGCTAAAACTTCCGGTGGAATCTCTTCTGCTGGCACTACACCAACACGGCGGAATCCTCAGTCAGCACAATCAGTACCTCGACCAAGTTCTATAGTGGAAAGTTCCCAGCCACAACGAAGAAATGTGAAGGCAACCCAGACTGATAAACGAGGTTTAGTGGGTGTGAATGAGAAGCAGCAAAAAAATTTGATGAAAAGCAGCAAAACAACAAAGACAACAGTTGCAGCAGCTCCTGGGGACTCTTCCAGTATGTTTCTAGCGAAGCCTAGTTTGTATAACAAGGTGACGAAGAAAAGTAGTGTAGTTCCACTGGAATCAAAGCCATATCTACGTAAAGGTTCAGGATTTACCTCTAGTGTTGGTCTTGTTAACAAGCCCAAAAATCCTTCTCAGTTAGAGGACTCTTTGAAAAACACTGAAATTTCTAATGATCCTCAAGAGAGTGATGTGATTGTTAATGCTTCTGTCTTGGTGAATGAGCATCAGGATCAGGATGTTTCATCACAGGATCATTGTGATGATGCTATTCAGTCAGAAACACAACTAAATGGCCATCAGAAATGTGATGTGATTGGGAGCGTTGATGAACTTGCTCCTGACTTTGATGATGGCTTAAAAAATATTCCCGGTTCTTTCCAACGTGACGAAGAATCGGCCATCTCACCAACTGCTTGAGTGGAAATAGAAGAGCATCAGGACCTGCCTAACCAATGTGATGAGAAAACAGGTGAAATTAAATCTTCAACCAGCATTGCACCTGTTGGATCGGCAAGTCCACGTGTCCGTCACTCTCTGTCACAGATGCTGCAAGAAGAAAGTAGTGAGGGCGATACTACTGAATGGGGAAATGCTGAAAATCCGCCTGCAATGGTCAATCAGAAAGATGCACCCAAGGGATTGAAGAGACTGTTGAAGTTTGC